CAGGTGCTGTGGACAGGTGTTGGGGACAGGTGAAGCCCTCAGGTGTGGGGACAGGTGAAGCCCTCAGGTGTTGGGGACAGTGTCAGTTATAACATCACTGATGTCCTCCTGGATCAGAGTCTCTTCATGCTTCAGTCTCCTCACGTCCTCAGAGATCACTGTGATGAACCTGGAGGACCTGATTCAGTCCTGGATTCTGCAGCGGCTCCCTCAGGCTCAGAGACTCGACCTAAACACCTGAACAGGTAAATATGACAAGTTCATGACTCAGAGACATTTTTACTCAAGTTTGTCTTCATGAGTCTGATGTTTTGTCGTTTTTCACATTGACTCACGGTGTATTAGCGGGCAGGAAGCGGCTCTCCTCTCCATCAAGGACGCCGTGGTACATCCCGATCTCCTGCTCCAGACGCTGCTTGTTGCTGAGCAATGTGTCGTAGTCGCGGCGCTGCTGCTCGATCTCTCCGTTCACGTCGGTGAGCTCTGCCTCCAGCTTGGCAACCACCGAGMCCAGGTTCTGAAGTTCCATGTCGTGCCAGTGACGAGCGTCGCTCAGCGAGTTCTCCAGACCTCGTTTCTGCAGAGAGAAGATTAATGATCGGATTATTGATCTGGTTAATCAGGTTAATAATCAGGGTATTGTTCAGGGTATTGATCTTTGTCCATCTCACCAGTGCTCTGATGGACTCGGTCTCAGCCTGCAGACTCTGGATCTTACAGCCTGTGTCGTTACACTCGGCCTTCAGCGCTTCCACCTGCTCCTCCTCCGGACTCAGTCTGCTACTCACACACTGCGCCTCCTGCAGGACACACACACGTGTCAGAAGCTGGTTAAAGGAACAGTGTGGCCTGTGAGTGTACCCGAGCAGGTGATACGTCCTCACCTTACAGTCCAGCTGGTAGCTGTCCGTCTCCGCTCGGTTCCTCTCTGTCACTTTCTCCCAGTGGCTCCTGATGTGACTCAGGATCTGGTCAAGACTTGTCTCGATGGGAGCGTCTGGTTCATCTACCTCACGTCCCGCCATCTGACTGTACAGGACTCGAACGTCCTGGATAGGCAGGCATCAGGAAGTACACAGGTCACATGACTGCAGCTCATAAAAGGGAAATTTCAAAGACAAACACTGATGACTGCAGAAATTATTTTACACCTTTTGTCATTTAACAACATAAATCCATCAAAAATTACTTAAATTATTGAATCTTCAACTGATAATCTGACATTAAATCATAAACTAAAGAATTTATTTCGATTTTTATCTATAAAGTAAAATGTTTTTTGAAATAAACTGTATTGTGTGTGTGTGGTGATTTAAACTGTGTGTTTTTTGAACAGTTTTGTGCGACCTGCTCGTGGTCACGCTCCAGGTTACACAGCTCAGCTCTCATCTTCTCCATCTGCTCCTCCAGCTCAGCCTTCGTCAGGTTGGCATCGTCGATGACTTTGTACAGAGAACTGATCTCCTCCTCCACTGCTGTCCTGAATGGCTGCTCATTCTCGAACCTGCAGGAGGGAAGACGTTTGTCCACATCCTGCATGTGTTACCTTCACATGTCGTCAGTTGTTTTTCTCTCAGGTAAACATGTCGAAACTCGGTGTGTGTGAGACCTCTGACCTGTCCTTGAAGTCCTCGGCGTTGGCCTGAACATTCTCCGTCTGCAGCATCAGCCGAGCGTTGTCCAGAATCGCTTCACTGACCTTCAGAAAACACAGAGATGTGAGGTGACCTGCAACCAACAGGGGGCAACTCACACCCCACCCCTGAGCTCACCTGTCGGTAGACCCCCCTCTATGCTCACTTGTCCTTAGACCCCTCCCCTCTCTGCTCACCTGTCCGTAGACTCCTCCCCACCGTGCTCACCTGTCGGTAGACCTCCTCCCACTCCCTCCTGAGCGGCCCCCAGGCTCCGGCGCTGTTCGCCTTACGGTCCAGACAGAGTCGGATCTGTTCCTCCAGCTGCTGGTTCAGCGTCTCCAGAGCTCTCACTTTGTCTCGGTACTCCATCAGGCAGCTGTTCAGTCCGCCCGCCGCACCGTGACCCGCAGCCCGGTCACCGGCCCGGGGCAGGACCGGGGCGGCGCTGCTCCTCATCCCCTGCAGGAACACGCTGCTGATGCCCAGAGCCCGTCGAGAAACCCGGGTCCCCAGGCCCGAGGCTCCGCCGCCCACCGGCGGCCCGATGCCCACGAAGACTCCACGTGCGGCGGCTGTACCGGAGCCCACCCGTCCCCCGGAGCCGGAGACCGGGCGCTCGGAGGATGACTGACCGAGGAAAGATGAGCGGCGTCGGGGCAGAGGCATCATGAAGCTCCCGGTGTCAAACCGCTCAGAGCCGCGCAGCGCGGGGATTTATGGGAGGACGGAGTTCTGGAAACACGGTTCTTCATTCACCGCCATTGTTCCACTGCACGTTTGTTCCCATTGAGAATACAGCTGCGTCAGCAGGACACAGGAAGAGTCCTGAAACAGAGAGAGACACACAGAGAGACAGACAGAGAGAGA